TACACCAAAGGCATCCAGAATATATGGAAATCTTCTTAGGGAATGAAAAAGAAACAGTAGGGACTTAAACAGTTACGGCTGCAATCTTAGGCATCTAAAAAGGTTTTTCAAATGAATACAGCCTTTTTAAGAAAAAAAATGGAATCATCAAGGCTGTTAAACATTTGTACTTGGTTTTTATGAAAAACATTTGTATCCATAGTTTTAAATGTAAGGGATACTTCGATGGGCTGTAGTTTAGGAGACCGTATGACATATTGTTAGTTTTTAAGATGACAGGTTACAGTTTTTGGTCAGCTCTTACCTGCATGTCAGTTGAGTTAAAACACCTAGAGGCTTACTTCAGAGCAAATCCGCAAAGGTTGCGGATGGCATCTTTGCTTTCAAAACAGAAACCTGCATCTAAAGCACTTCGTTTTGCTACCCCATCTGGCGGGGCAAACAAAGCCTTGCTTTCTCTCTGCCTGTCCCGCTCACGCCACTTTCGCGGCTCTCCTTTGTCTCCGCGAAGCGCGCAGAGGGCGGGGTGGGGTGGGGCGGGCCGAATCCGCGTCAGCCTCCAGCTCTGCAACCTGTTCTCAGCTATGGCCTGAGGAGGGGGGGCTTGGCTGCAGACTCCGCCCCCACGGTGGCCTTGCCAGCCCCTGCCCGTCGCCGAGGGAGACCGGGTACAAGCCGGCTGGCTAGCAGGCTGGCAGAGGCGCACCTTCTTGGACGTTCGCGCTTTGCTGTCGTAGCAGACGGGGCTGCAGCAGCGCTCCGATACCGCAGGCGAGAATGGCGTCTTCGCCGGCTCGAGAGCTCACGCAGAACCCCCTGCAGAAGATCTGGGTACCCTACAGCAATGGGCTTCCAGCGAAACACAGCGCGCAACGCGGCGGTGAGTGGCGGGTCGAAGACTGATGAGCTGAGATGGAGAGGGGGCGGATAGGAGAGTCGGGGCACTGGAGTTGCATCACCCCGGTGCGGGTGTTGGGTGAAGTATGTGGAAGCAGGACTTGAAATCGGAGACCTGGCGATCATTTCCCCCCACCCCATGATAGACATGCCGGTTTACCGCTGGACGGTCCTATTGATTGAGGGGGTTGCTTTCCTCTTTGCTGTCAAAGCCTCTTGTAAGACACGGAGGGTTCCCGTTGGATTTGGAAAGGAGACAGTTCCAGAGGGATGAAGTGAGGACCCCAGGTCCCCGTTTTGCTTGGCCTAATGATTTTGCAGCACCTGCTAGTTATGAGAATAGCTCAGGTGTGGCATGGAATGCCGGGCATCTTCAAAATGCCATTGCACAATACTGAAGAGTTGCAAAAGCCAATTTGAAAAGAACTACAGGTGGTTTCTTGACATTGCAACCATTGATTGCAATGAATTTCCAGCTTTTTCTTTTTGTACTTAGCCACTGCTGCAATACAGTACATGCACATTTGCTCTCACACACATGGCATTTTCCTAGTGAAATAATAATGATAATAAAAAACGCACGTGGTTCAACATACATCAAAATGTATGTTGATATGCCAATAATTTCATCTTTAACAGTGGTTTTATAGTATCAAAATTGCTAGTATAACTCTTCATCTAGTGATTCATTTGCTAATGCACATCCAATTTCTTGGATGACAAATGTATTATTAATATTAAGTAATAGTGAAACGTTTACCTAACTGAATTTATGAGTGTTCAAATAAAGATTTTGTGATACTTAAAAAATGAGTGTGAGTGTGATCCCTGAGGTTGAGAACAATTTACCTGGATTTGTACTTAATACTGCTAACCTTTGCATATTAACCAAGTCTGTAGGTCAGATAGAACTAAGTAGGATGTGGTTTTGAATGCACATGGAATAGAATAGCATTGATAAAGGTGCTTCTAGAAAATATTGGCAGAAAGGGAGAAACAGTGCATTTTTAATTATATAAGGGAAAAGTAGAAGAGAAATAAATAAAGTTGTAGAGAGAGCTGCTTGTTTGTTCAAATAGACTATGAGATTTATTCACTTAAAAACAGGAAACGATGGAAATCTGGAACAACATCTGAAAATGTGACACTCATTGGATAACCATATTCAACACCTGCATTGGGAAGTCAGAGATTGAATGTGTTTCAGACTGTCTTTTTACAAGGTGTGATTTGTATTAGCAGAGATATGCACACCTAGGAAGATCATAGAGAAGATACGGGGACTTTATATGGACTGTAATCTCAAAGGAAAGAAAAGCTGGCTTTGGTCTACTCTTCTAGGTCCATGCAGTAGGAAGAGCTGGCAGAAATATACAGAGTTGACCGGGAACAGTGTCTCAGTAAAGAGCTTTAGCAGCTGAATATGTACATTTTAATTATGGTAGGGAATATGTATTAGTGCTTACAAACAGCCTTTGAGTGCTGTATAAAAGATAGTGTTTCCATTTGCATCTAAGTTGTCAATATAGGGTGGAGCTGGTTGAATCAATTACCTGAAAGCATATTTCAATGTACTGCGTGCTGATAAAAAGATGTCACCACGTGTCAAAAATAAATGTGGTTGTTTTGTGCAGAGGGAGTTTACATGTGAATGGCTATGCATGCAGCTGTTAGGGTTTTGGGGTTTTGGCTTGGTAGTTCTCTTCTTTGTAAAAAAAGAATAAATCCATGAGCAACTTTCTGCTTTGAGTTTTGTATTGGTCACTGAATATATCCTTAAAAAATAGTATTTTTTCCTGTAGAATTCTTTACCAGTAGTAAGATGCCTGTTTTGCCCCATAGTTACCTCATTCAGGATATAACAGCTGTGTGGCATCCAAAGGTGAAGTGTTATGCAATCTGTATGTTTGTGTAGCCATGGGAATCTGTAGCATTGAATTGCCCTCCTAGATAATGTTCTGTCAGATAACAATTATAGAGAACATCTTTAGTTTTACAATGCCTTTCCCCCCCAAAAAAATCACAAATAGAAATTAATATTAATTATTTTTTCATATTTTTTTACTATGCATTAAGTTAGGAGCAGTCATACTTCTAAATGATTTTAATTAATATCGCCTGGTACTTAGCTATAACTCTGAATGTTATTTGGACTTTATAGTTTCATGAGACAGGAACAAACTAGAGTTAACCATTAGAGCAGAAGTTCCCAACCTTTTCTATACCCGCAACCCCCAGAACGCTTCTGATTCCTGCACCCCTTACAAAAGTAAATAATTATATGCATATAATTATGCATATGCACTATAATTTTGAAATACCTAAACCCACGTTTTCGCAGCCCCTGGAATATCGTCTTGCAACTCCAGGGGAAGTACCCCCCAGTTGGGAATCATATTTTTGATAGACCTTAATATTTTATTTGCACAGAATATTTAATCACAATTAAATTTATAATGCTTTATTTGATGTTGGATTGTTTTGAGCAAATCATAATACTAACTTTCCAATTTGGGACGAAATGATGTGTTCCAGAATTTATTAATCTGTAAAATAAAATAAAAAAATCATTCAGCATCCCAAAGGCCATTCAGTTTTGGTTGAATGGTGGGGAAAGTCCAGTTGCCTTTTGAAAAGCACCTTGGGGACAACCATGATCTGGATGATTGAGAATCTCCATAGACATTCAATCATTTGGCAGTTGTTAAAAATATCAATAAACTTAAAGTAGTAGAGCTATACTATGACTTTAATGCTGATTGTAGTTAATATTCTAGCTCCTGTACTAATTATTATGTGCTAGCTGGAGTTTCATTTTGGCCACATATACATACACTGCATTTCAAAATCTAAAGAGGATAGTAGGGATGGAGCATGTCTATCCTAGGATCTGGAGATATCCATAAAAACCTGCAGAATTGTTGAGAATCCTCAGCCAACTTAAGTTAGGAAGCACTGAAGTGACTTAGACAATCAGTAGGAATGCATTTCCTTTTATTATCTATAGGCAGAGGTGCCTCTGCTTCTGGAAAATTAAGGCAGGATTAATAGATGTGTTGAAATTTCCTTTTAGTTGCTCTGGAGGAAGGAGGAGTTTACATAGATGAGCTGAATATAGTATCTTATATGACAAGTTGACCTATTTATGTATGCTGCCGTGGCATCTGTTTTACTTGCAATAAATGTATACAGCATAAGTGACATAGATGCATATTAATCTTTAAAAATAATTGAAAATTATTTAATATTTTTTTATTTATTCAATATGGCTGCCTTTCTCAAATGCATGACTCTGGGAAGCTAACTATTTTTTTAAAAAAAAATAGTTTGCTTGGTGATACAAGATGTTCACAATATACCTAGGTATTATATATTGTTTTTATCATGCTTTTCAGTATGTCTTAATTATAGAAATAGGCAGCATACAAATTTGAATAAATAAANACGCGGTTTTGTGGTGGAACCCATGCACACACCCATGATTCTATTTGCCAACTCCTGCTCATGTGCATGTACCTCCTCCCGCTCCTCTGCTTTTTCATGTGATGGCACAGTGGACCCATTTTTTGCTCTCCCCATGCTCCAGGGCATTTTTAGGAGGGGAGGGCAAAAACGGCCTTCCCCACCTCCTTCGAGGCCGGAAATGGCTTGTTTGTCGACTTCTGGTGGGCCCAGAAGGCTAGAAAATCAGCTGGTGCACACCGGAGCTCAGTTCTCATGTTTACCGAGATGGCTCTGCGTGCCACAGATTTGCCATCACTAATATGGTATTACATTTTTATACAGATTTATGCTCTATGTTCTTCTGTGCATTTTCTTAGTTGCTGTAAGACCTTACATAATATTTAAAATCTGCCACACTGTCAGCCTAATTTTATACATCACAACAATTGTTGAAACTGATGTTGAATGGTTTTGATATGGGCTGGACATAATTTAATTTCTTTTCAGCTTCTTATCTTATGCTTTTAATTTATTTTACTTATAGTCTTTTGCAATTTGGCCATGAGGGAAAAGAAATTCTGCCATAACAAGAACAATTTTGACAGTATTTAAGATATTTGGAACATGAAATTGTTCACATTTATTTAGAGATATGAAAGCTAACCCTCCCTCGCCCCAAACAATTAAGACAAATATTTTTCCTTAGGCTCATTTTTTTTTCTTTTCTAAGAAAAAAATACAAGGATTAATTTAAAAAAAACTAATTGAAATTCTGGAATAATAAATGTAAAAACAGGAAGTGCTCTTGTGATGCTATCTTTATACACTAAAATTTTCAATTAACTTCGAAGACCTTTGTATAGGCTATGTTCTATACAGTGCAGAAGCCATGCAGTGCAATTCTAAAATGCAGGAACATGATGTAATTCTGCCCTTGGGGGCAGTATCTATTTCACTAAAGAAAGGAACACTCAGTGCCTGACTTGCTTGTGGGATTTTTGTTACTGACTTTTTATGTATAGATCAGTGAATTTGCTCCCGACTAGCTCTCAAAAGACATGTTTTATTTTGATATTAATGTTTTTGTTCTTCCTTTTTCAGTTATTTTTTTCAAGTTGACAAATTGACAAAACTGAGACAGCTGAGAACCTATAGTTCTGCAGCTTATATTTCAGTTTCAATTTCAAGAAATTAAAATAATTTCAAAGCAATTCCATTAATATCATTATTGTCTAAATTAAACTAAATATACAGAAGTATATTATTTTCTAACAAACTGAACAGTCCTGCAATTGATCTCTATTATTGCATGTTTGCATTTTGACTATTTAAAATTTCAAAATATTTTCATATTTTAAAATTTTGACTTCGTTTACTACTCATAAGATTGGCTTGCCTACTAAGATTGGGCCAAGGGAGTAAAGAGCTGAATGTTTTCATCACATTCCTTTGAATGATAAATTCAGCAGTTTTGCCTTCTGGCAGAGATGTTTTCTACTAATCATTCCCATAATTATAGCCATTGTGTAAGAACGTCCA